TGGAGGACTGGCCATATGTGATGGAGGTCCTTGGAGCAGGGATGTAGAACCAGCAACTGAGCACAAGGAGAACATGTCAAACCAGCTTGACTGCAGTGGAACCCAACACCTTGGCTGTGAAAGAATTGTTACCAATAAGGCTGGCAGTATGGGGAAGGACAAGATCTGGGCGCTGTGGGGCAGATTATGTTGCAAGACAGATGCAGGGACCACTTTGGCTTTGATGGGGTAATGTAGGCATCTGAAACAACTGCATTCCTGTGTTTAATTGCTGCCAGCTCATTTGGGGCAGCTGCTTGTGGGCCCTGCATATGTCTGCTGGCCACACAGCTCCCAGAGGGCACAGTCTGTAGCTGGGGTGAGGTTCTTGCACTCATTGCAAGAGCCATGTGGAGAAATGCTGAGGCATCAGAGACCCCATCCTTGGTAAGCATTACCACAGGGCTCAGTCCCACACAGAGTGGGGCCCTGGGTCCAGCCCCTGGAGGGTCCCCTCCCAGAAGGGTTGCTGTACAGAGGTCTGGGACACAGCACACATCCTGTAGATCCAGCACATGAACCAGTTGCAGGGTCTGCCTTTCCTGCTGGGTTCAGAGTTGGGCTTGTATCTGGAGAGCAAATATTGCTGGCACCACAAGGATCCAGGAGTCCCCACGTCCTGCATTGCTCTGAAGCTGGGGGTGGATCCTGAGAGCCTCTTTTTTTTCAGGGAACGGCTGGAATAGGCTGGGCTTTTGTGACACTGTGACAGACTAGTTTCCAAGGCATTTGGGGTATAGGAGGGGCTGCCAGGAGGACCCTGACAAGGCATCAGTCATCTTTCAGGCAGCACCAGAGACCCAGGAGGGCTCCAATCTCCCTGAAAGTTTAATGCGCACTAAAGGCATCATCTGCAAGTGCCCCAGGGAGGGTACACTTGCCCCTTCCCTTGCTTCAGCCCCAATGGGAGCGATTCCCCACATCTGCTTGGGTTGCCAATGTCCCTTGTGCCTGCTGAGACCACATATTTCTCGTCCCCCCAGAGAGTCCTGGCTCCACCTGGATCTGCCCTAGGCACAGCAAGATCCCCTGCACCATTACCGCCAACGTGGGAGCCCAGCTTGTCTCTTGGGCTGAGCCCCAGCCCACTACAGCTGCATCTGCTGCCCTGCCCCTGACACTGGGAAAGAACCAGACACACTCTGAAGATGTGGCCTCTACAGACCATGGTTCATGCTTCCCTTCTCCCATCTCAGAGAGGCAGCTGCCCAGGGGACAGCCTGTGGGGGCATTGGGGGGTGTGTGTGTTGGGGGGTGCAGGTAGGTGCTCCAGGGAGGGCCAGTCCATGTTCTGTGGGGGGGCAGCACCTGCACGTGTTCCCAGTGGGGAGACAGGGGGGAGCCAGAGCACTGCCTGCTCTGCCCCAACCCTGATATACTACAACCTCTAACAGGAAGGGGGGGGGGGGGGTGTGTGCACGTGCAAGGGTCTGTATTTGCACATAAGCCTATACACTCTGGCATATAATAAGCTGAACTCCTTATTGAGACGTCTCACTGCCTGTGCCCTTGTTCTGGGAATGCCCCACAGAATCGCCGCTCCTGACAAATGGGCAATGGAGAGGCATTCAGCCATGTGGCATTGCATGCACAATGACTCACAGGTGCAATGAAGGTAGTGGGGGAGCCCCAAAGGGCTTGAAGCAAAAGGCCAGGCAAGTTGCCCTCACCAGCAGCCAGAAGCACCAATGTGCTAGGGCCCAGGGCAGGGCCCAAGGAGCCTGAAGGGATAGTGGCGAAGGTGGGGGCAGGGGGGAAGTGACACACAAAAAGCCCAGCACACCCCACCTGGCACAGCCCAACCTGACAGAAATCCTGCCCTGCTCTACTTCCCACTCTCCTCTGAGTGGGCAGCAGCTCTTCCCAGGCCTGGGTCATCACTGGTTGAGGCAGCAGGAACCGCAGGTGTGCAGGGCAGGCAGCAGCTATGGGAGGGGCAGGAGCTGCAGGTGTGTGGGAGCTGTAGGGGGAGGAGGTGGATTCACCTTTCTCTGCTGCACTGTGCCAGTTTAGCAGAGGGCTCCATTTCCCTGTTCAGTCTTCCCCGCCCCTACTCCCGCCCCTGCCAGGCTATAAGCCCCCCCACAGCAGGTAGTGTCTGGCACAAGCTGAACTCGGATCCTTGTTGCTCTGGACCAGACGGACAGGTGAGTCCCTGCCCTCACTCCCTGCCCCTGCCCCAGGTGCTGGGTCCTTTGGGGGTGCCTCTTCCTGTGATGGGGCAAGACCAGTTCTGAGTCTCCTCAACCACGAATCAGTCTTTCTGCCCCGCTTCCCCACAGCACTGCACCTAGCACCATGACCCTATGGACTGGTGCATCCTCTCTGTAGGCTTTGCCAGAGAGGAGAGGAACCCTGAGGCTGCAGGTGACAAGGTCCTTGGAACCAGCCAAGGAAATGGGCCCTGCAGCTCCCTGCTCCCAGGGGTTGGGTGGGGCTGGTGGATGGGCTGAGCAGGGCCAGGTGCTTGAGCAGATAGTCCCAGGTCTGCAGTTCTTCTCTCAGTGAAACAGCCTGAGAGGGAAGGACTGGTCCAGGGGGCTTGCAGCCCCTCTCCCCTCGTTTGTTTTCTCCCAGGGTAAGGAGATGGGGACCACGGCCCGCCTTTGCTTCTGCCTCCTCGGCTGCCTGGCTTTGAGCCCCTGGCTGGAAGGTGAGTCCCTGACCAGCTCCCTCCAAGGACCTGGGCCCGAGGCCTCTGTCTGTGCCAGGAAGCGAGTTCGTGTCACCTGGGTCTCGCCTCCTGTCCCTGGGCAGCTCCCCGAGGTTCTCTCCCGCTGTGCCTCCCCCCGGCCCCAGGATGGCGCCCCCCTGCGCCTGGTGCCGAGCCGGGCCGAGAGCCCCCACCCATCTCAGCTACAGGGGGTCGCCAGCACACCCCCCCCCCAGCGCGCCC